TCTTCTGTCTTTATTCAGCTCCAGCCTGGCTATTAGGTGAAATGAAGCAGCTGCCTTGGGTAGCAGTTGCCAAGCATTATTTACTTTGTTAGTGTTGTACTTCGCTTGCTAGGGAAAGAAGGAATGCTTAGTTGAAGCACTGCCATATCCATCTTTGGTTACAATGTGCATAAACACAGACAGGTCACGTTGGCCTCCCTCTTTCTTTTCCTTAGGCTGAGCATCTGTTTTTGCATTTCTCTCTCCCAAGACTCCTTCAGCACCAATTTGGAAGCCATTTGTGAACCTTGACACCACCTTCTTCCTTTCTGTGGCACGCTCCGTTTGACGCTCGGCTAAAAATCTCCCCAATGCTTGATGGGAGTTAATTGCCAGGATTGTCCCCTGATCTTAAACAAATGCATCTGAATTATGCATTGCAATCCCCCATCCCACTAATGTCTTGAAACATTCTGATGATGTTTTAATGGCTCTTTAATTCTGTATTGTATTAAGGAAACAAAGAACAACGCTAGATTGTAGTTCATACTAATAGGCTTATCCACAAGTTCCTTATATATTAATAATATGGAAAACAAATATTAAAAAATCCCTTAGAGACAGAAATAAGTGGATTTATAATTCCACATGGCCTTACAGGCTTCCTACCTATTAATATCTCTGTAGAGTTGGGGAGTTGTCACAAAGGTTTTGCCAACCGGGTATACCCTATTAGTGTAATAATGACCTCATTGATCCATTCTTTTTTTTTTCTCACAAACACTACTTTTCCTTTGGTTCACTGATGGTGGCCAATTAGGACAAGCTGCTTCATTTTCCACCCCTAAGGTAGCTTTTGGATGAGACAAGTAGAAATTGCTGCTCCACAGCGACCCCACCGGCGATGGCTGGAAGGAGGTACTGTATGTTATCCACCTAATTCAGAAGTATAATCTAGCTGGTTGGGTCCTGTCTGTGTGAAGTGGTTGTGAATCACATTACGTTCGGTGGCTGATTGCTGCACCCCGATTTCTACAAGGGGGAAATATGCAGAAGGATGCAGCATCCGTAAAGCAAAGTGTGTGTTTGTGTGTGTGTGTGTGTGTATGAAAACAACAGGAAAAGCAAAAAGGGGGAAAATACATATACATATGTAAAAATGCATCCATAACGTTTTAATCCCTAACTCGTCTATGTTGCTGTTTTTCTCTGTTGTTGCTGTTACTATTATTCTTACAGTTGCATAAACGTTGCACTAAGGTGAAGGCTAAAATAAAAAATTCAAAGGAGGAAATTTGATATAGTGATTAAAATAAATAAAACAAGGGGGAAGCATTCAAGGAGCCCTCTCTCTTATGTTTTCCCCTTTTTTCCTCTTCTTTTTTCCCCCTGACTGTTAACTACTACTGAAATATTTGATACTATGCTTTAAACTTCTACAACTATTGCTTATTTCTATGGAAGCCGTTTTAATTATTACTTTTTCAAACGGGTCCTCTTGAATCTTCAGAAACCATATTCTAAATGTCTTTGTGTGCCTTGCTGTGTAATAGGTTTTATTTTTATTTATATTTCAAATTTGTCACCGCCCAGCTCACTGTGGGGTGACTCTGGGCGGTTTACAGTAAAAATAGAATAAAGATTAGGTTTGCATATAAATAGGTGGCATATAAAAGAGCCATTCCTGCTTGAATTTGGGTAGGGTTTTGTTTTCAATACGTACAGTTAGTGTTTCCATCGAGGCATGTGGTCCAAAGCTGCGATGTCGAGATCTGATCCAATTATGGGACTGAGATGACTTTCAGATTGAATTGTTGAATTGAATCGGATGCCTCTGAATTAGTTCACCTGTTCAGAAAGACTTCTCCGTATGCACAAAGCTCGTTCTTTTTCCAAATGAATGTAGGAAACCCAAATCAAACTGACCCAAGCTAAACGGTCAGATTGGATCTACGATCTAAACTGAATTGGGCTGGGAGCATATCGTACCTTTTTTTAATTATTCCAAGTGATACTAAACTATCGACCTTCAGCCGGTGTGTACATATTTTCTATGCCAAAATTGATTTCCATGGATGTCTCTTAGGGTCATTTCTATTTAAAAAAAAAAAAAAACACTGTTTGCAGAATTCGCCACTTACTGGATAATCACACTTAAGGCTATTCATTGTACCAGCTGAATTATCTTAATCCTGTATTAGTTATGGATGAAAAATGCAGTACTGTTTCAAAAGGTTTGGTATAATTTAAGTATCTTCCTTCCTTCCTTCCTTCCTTCCTTCCTTCCTTCCTTCCTTCCTTCCTTCCTTCCTTCCTTCCTTCCTTCCTTCCTTCCTTTC